AAAAATGCATCCAACTCATTCCCTTCCTAATTGAAAATTTGCATGTGCAAATTAAACAAAAAAGTTGTGTAGACAATATCATTGTCAAGAATTAACTTTAGCAAGTTGTTTCCTGGATTTATGTCTATTACATCTGAGGTCAGGACAGTGTGTTAAATGATGCGAGGCTGTTATGTTGTATGTGTGTTTGTGTTTATAATCATGTAGACACTAACACATCTAGAACTATTCCTTACTAATTTACTATCTTCTTTGAACCTCAGAAACCACATTTCTCTAACTAGTTAGTTATTTTTGCTGGATATAATTTTATAATATCTGATGTCAATGCAGTGTATTATATAACGTGAGGCATGTTGATGTTCTTGGAGTTGAACTAATGTTAAAGCTTAGGCAGTTGGCCTAGACCAAGCATAGTGTACATCTTGATTGAATCATGTTGTTAATTTTACAAATACTATGGGGTATACTATGTGAAATATATTCTGAAGGCTAATAAACTTGTGGACTTTTTCATATTAAAATTAAGAATATATCATCTGAAAAGGTGGGTTGTGATTTATCTTTTTTCTTTTTTATTAATAACTCGAGAGTACAAAAGTCAAGAGGCATTCTTGTCATGGTAGCTCCTTGAGGTGCTCCAACAGTCTACACCACGTGCAAATTACCTTCATTTCTAACTCTCATATTGTTATGCTCCCAGAATTATATACTGGTAATATGTTAAATTGGTCATCACTTGCAAGGTTTTGTTTATTGTGATCATATGCATTTTGTTCTTGAGATTTGAGAAACCTCTTTGATCTTGATGAAAAAAATCCATTTGGTATGAATGTAGAGTCTCTTGCTGAAATTAAATATTGCTGGTAGAGTCTCTTGATTAGTGCTATTTTTATATTTTATGTTTTGGTGCTGCAAATTTGGCTTTTGTCTGTCTTATATTTGATTTCCAACTTATTCATTTGGTACAAAAATCTCCTTATGTGTTTCTGGAATAATCTGATTTGTCTTGATTCTTTGATTTTACTAGCGGCTTTGCAAGATGCTGTCATCTATGTATCAGCAATTTGAATGGAAATAGCTTCTTGATTTTTGGCATACTTTTTAATTATTCGTATTGACTTGTCATTGATTATTAGGCCTTGGAAAGCTCTCCCTCTGATGTGCTAGATATTGAAAAATCTTCAGCAACAGAGCAAAATGGGGATTTGTCTGAGAGAATAGATGATGTGCTTGGTCAGACTAATAATGGCCACTCTGATCAGAAGACTGACGCAGATTCTGACTTCTGGTCCTCAGATTATGACGAAAATATTCCTGATGATTTATCTGATTCAGATAGTTGTCTTGGAATGGAGGTGACTCTCGTATTCACTTGTTTATAATGCTGTATTTCTTCATTTCCCTAGGAATACATTTCTTGAATTTTCCCCAATTCTTTACTCATCTATAATCACGATGAGTATATAATATCATATGTTCTGGGGCATATTTTGTTGAATTATGGATTTGCTTACCTTCTCTTTCTTAAAATCCTGTAGATTGTAAATAGTCCCAGCTTTCCATTTTAACCATATGTTTGTCAATTGCAGGAAACATCTGGCTCTTTGTCAGAGAAGGATCAGAAATTATTGTTTTTGGCTGACATGGGTTATCCTGTGGAAGAAGTCAAAATAGCTATAGAAAGATGTGGTATGTAGAGCTCTCAAATGATTGTCATGCCATAGTTAGTTGTACTCCGTACTTTTAGTTCTTTTGTATCTTATTTCTTACCCCCTTTCATTTATTTATAAGTCATAGTGTAATTATGTATTGTGATGCACCATAGTCCATAGCTTGTTTCTTGATGCATCATAGCATGTTTCTTTCGCACATGCTTTTGCTAATCTTTTCTTCTTCTTATACAGGCCCAGAATCCTCTCTTGAAGAGTTAGCTGATTTTTTATGTGCTGCTCAAATGGCAAGAGCATCAGATGCTTCATATGTAGATCCACCAGCCAAACCAAAGGTGGTGTTCGTAATCCTTTAGAATGTTCACGTCACATTGATTCATATTATAGTATCTATCTTAGGCCAGTATTTCACAATTAAATTTACTACTGCTAGTTATGCAAATTTGCATTTTATTTTAATCTTATTACGCTCATTTCTGATGAAACTATCTATCATGCTCGTTTCTTGTTTCAAGCAGCTTTATAGTGATTATGCTAAACATAAGAAGAGGAAGTTGCTTGAGTATGAGATGAGGAAGAAAAAGCAAAAGGGACTTTTCGAGGATGATGAGCCAATTCGCCTCCCCAAACCAATGATAGGGTTTGGAGTTCCTACCGAGCCATGTCTTCCTTTTCATAGAACACTACCAGAGGCAGCCATAGCTCCTCCATACTTCTATTATGAAAATGTGGCTCTTGCCCCTAAAGGAGTTTGGGACACAATCTCTCGCTTTTTGTATGATGTTCAACCTGAATTTGTTGATTCAAAGTACTTCTGTGCTGCTGCAAGGAAGAGAGGATATATTCACAATCTTCCCGTGGAAAATCGATTCCCTCTTCTTCCTCTTCCCCCTCGCACCATCAATGAAGCATTGCCCTTGACTAGGAAATGGTGGCCACATTGGGATCCGAGAACAAAGCTTAACTGTTTGCAAACTGCAATTGGTAGTGCAAAGCTGACGGAGAGAATCCGCAAGGCACTTGAAGATTATGAGGGCGACCCTCCTGACCATGTAAAGAAGTACGTCCTTGATGAATGTAGAAAATGGAATTTGGTATGGGTTGGCAGAAATAAGGTTGCCCCTCTTGAACCTGATGAAGTAGAAATGTTGTTAGGATTTCCTAGAAACCACACTAGGGGAGGTGGAATAAGCAGGACCGATAGATTTAAGTCACTTGGCAACTCATTTCAGGTATGACAGAATTTGCTAGCTTTAATATTGTTCTGTTGATTGCCCTGATAGTGAAGTCTTATTTAAATATTTTTTTTTAACCTACTTCAGGTTGATACAGTTGCCTACCACCTCTCGGTCCTCAAAGATTTGTTCCCAGGTGGCATCAAAGTGCTTTCTCTTTTTTCTGGAATTGGAGGTGCTGAAGTTGCTCTTCACCGTTTGGGAATACCATTAAAATTTGTAGTGTCAGTTGAACTTGCTGAAGTGAATAGAAATATTCAAAGGAGTTGGTGGGAACAGACTAACCAAAAAGGTATTTTGATTGATATTGTTGATGTGCAGCAGCTGACTAGTGATAGGTTGGAGCAGCTGATAAATAAATTTGGGGGCTTTGATTTGGTTATTGGAGGAAGCCCATGCAATAATCTAGCTGGTAGTAATAGGGTAAGTAGGGATGGACTCGAGGGTAAGGAATCTTCACTTTTCTTTGAATATATCCGTATTTTAGACTCAGTCAAGTGTATCATGGGGAAGAAACGATGACTGATTGTAATCTCCATTTTTCCAGATGTAACTCCATAAGTGATAAGCCCCTGGCTATTAATTTCTGAATAATCTGATAAAATAGTTGGTTAATGAACATTTCAAAGTGTTAGTTATGTCCTAGCACCATCTTAACTTTGGTGAAAAATCTAGGAATATATTTTTTTTTTCTTTTTCTTTTTCCTAGTGGACTTTTAACCAATTCATTGCCTCGGGTTATAATTTTTACTGAATTCCTGCATGGACAGAAGCAGATTTCAGCATGTAAGACGGTGAAATTATTTGCAATAATCTTATACATTGTTTCCTTTTTTAACTAAGTCAATTGTGTTAATATTTTCAACGTTTGTAACTGCGGACTTAAGTAGTATGAAAAGTAATTTACCCTAATATGCAATTCACAAATAAACGTCTCTATGTTTTCTACAAATTTGCAAATGTGATATGAACTTGACTGATAGCAGTGTAAATACTTCAGACTGCGAATTTGTTGCTGTATAATGAATCAAGAGCTGGAAGCTAACTAACATTTTTTACTTTCTGACATTCCATCATTTTTTACTCTCTGCCATTCCATCATATGATTCATATCTTTGTGAACTGATGTTCATAGCTTTTTTTGAATATTGGCGAGTATCTCCCAAGATTAAACATTCCAAATTGTGATAGACTTCAAGTCTTCAGAGCTGCTTGTTGCTCTAGTCATTCTCAACGCCATTTCAGAATTCATGTGCCCCAAACTTGAAAGGAGTGTTGCTTGAATCATTTTGATGTTGTCAAAGTGCATATTTTTTTTTTTTTTTTTTTTTTTTTTTTTTTTTTTTTTGTGGAAAAAAGACTAGTGTAGCTTATCAAAGGAGCACCTTCCATTCAAAAGCAGCACAAACATCAAGAAGAATAACAAGTATTTGTCTATAAAATACAATGATTGCCTCTTCAACTATAAGTCGGACATAAGCTAAAGGGACAAGATAAGGACATTGGTCGGTCTTGATTTACTTATAGGACAATTATCTATGTTAGAATGTCGTGTCGTGTTGAAGTATCAGAGGATCCAACACCGGACGCTCGACTTATAGCAAGGTGTCGGAGTAACATAGATAATTACTTTACGGGGCTTTTGGTATAAGAAAATTACTTTACAGGGCTTTTGGTATAGAATAAGGTTAGGAATTCATTACATGGATCTATAAGCTACGTGGACAAGGACACTACGGGGCATTTGGTACGCGATGGAGATGAGGAAAAAAAGGGGATTATCATGGTGAAGTCATTAATTTGTAAGGACAAGGTCATTATTCCAACCTAGTTACTATCATTGGAACCACAGGTTGGAAGGGAAGTTTCTCAATTTACAATTCAATTGAGAAAACAACACTTTTAACTGCATTATTCTACCAAGTATTTATTAGGCAGGGGTTAGTTTCTTTTATGATTGAACAAGCAATTACTAATGTGACACGTCGCATCATTTGATGCCATGTACCATTCCAATAATTCGACTCTTTTAAAGGGCATTAACAGTTAGAATTTAGAAATGCTAGCATCAATTATTCCAGTAGAAAATGTGTTCTAAAATCTTAAATGTGGCTTTTAATGATAGTTGACATATTATAATATGCATACTGTTCTTTATAAGCCTTGTTACAATAAGTTCTCATGATGCCCTATATGCTCGAACAACACCACAAGCTACGGCACAGTAGGATTCAGCATCCCTCTCAGCAACCGTAGCATTCTTCCAAAAGACAGAACCAGAAGGCTAGCTGATCTGACTCAACAGATACCATTTAAAGAAACAATTATAACGAGCACCCCACGTTTAGGCTTTTTTTAAGGTAAGATGGGGGTTGGGGTGGGAGTGTGGCAGGATGGGCAATTGGGCATTACCAACCTTTTGAACCATAGTCCATAATTCTTACCAATGAATGATGCACTCAACTTCCAGATTTTAGAATCAGGCTTTCAAACCTAAAAGCCTCTGCCACCAAATTACAGATTCAAGCATCCATATTGTCTAGCTCACTCTTATTTTTAATCAGACAATCGATCAGTTGATTATTACTTAAAAACCCCATTGCCTCCATCATTCCTAGACATGCATAATGTGCTCTTGAATAAATAATTACAAGTAGAATCTGACCTACACTTGACACACTCAGAGTGCAACCCCCTTATTTGTAAATGCTTACACAACTACCAAGCAGCAGTTGGAACCAAGAGGAACAGCTAGACCGGTAGCCATCTAGAAGTCAAAAGTGCCATGGTTGTATTTTTCCACCGGTTGTCTATTTTGGTGTTGTATACGATTGATCTTTGCACCTTCTCCAGCTGTTGTTTTTCGTTGACCAGCTGAGGCAAGAAGCAATCCCACAGCCACGCTGAACATGACAAGCATGCTCACAAGTAGCAAATAAGTCCTTTTGGATGACCTCCTGTACTCGCCAAAGAAGAGTATGCCCCAGAAGGTGCTCACTAATGGAAGTGCCTGAAATAAAAAGTATAAAGTCAGGCAGAAGGTTGTAGAGATCCATAAGCATTATTACAGGAGTACTTGTGATTTTGATATTTGCAAGTCCCTGACATTGTTGATCATTATTTCACATTTTTGCCTTCAACATAGATTTTTTGTTTTATAATTCTTGTGATTCTGCAATACACAATTCAATGGAATTCAGATAAAATATGCAACTATCAAAACAGGCTAAAAGTTAATCAAGTGTACAAAAACTCTCCAGACAGAGTACAAAGGCTCTACAAATGCATAGCTAATTCAACATGTAGCCAGTTCTAAATTCTTTATACATACTGTTTCAAAATATTATATTGATTTTATAGGAGCAAGTTAACATAAGTAATGAAAAGACCCATAAGATTCAATATAATATATCCTCTTCAAGATAGAAAATTTGTAACTACTAACCTGAACTGCATCGGCAGCTGCATAGCCAGCAGCCTGGCCCCCAATGAACTGAAGACCATTCCCAAAGCCACACAACAACCCAGCCGCTACAGCCCATCCTCTCCCATTTCCATCTCTAAGGTATTGCTTAATAGATGATTTAGGCAAGTTTAAGAGAGGATAGTACAAGAAGATGACATTTAAAAAGACCGCCATCACAACAAAGGCCAGTGAGAAGTAAAAGAATGCAGTATAGATGACCAAATGAGGAACCCCCCCCTTCAAAAAGTGCCATTGATCATTTGTTGCGAGGTTGAATGCTGGTGAGAAGAGAGCAAAACATATGCCAGCAAAAAGTGTTATGCTCATGCCGACCAATTTGCTTTCGCCAACCACCTATCGATTGAGAAGTTTAGACTTTAGATATCATTAGTGCAAATTTTTGATAAACTACCTCCATCTTGTTTTCACTTATGATTGTCGTAGTTCTTATTTATGTCTGCCCCCGAAAGATTGTCATGTCTAGTTACTTTAACGCGGTCGCACATAGGTGGACACCCATATTCTTCACTAATCGATAACTGCAACTAACCGGCAATTTGGTCAGTAGCACTCATAACAAATAAACTTCACTTTTGATGATAAATCTTTTTATTCAAATCGCACATGTACAATTATATGTTTCTCCAAACAATGATCATTTAAACTACGACAATCATAAAGGGGTTGGGGAAGTAATTGAAGAAAGTTAATTTTATAGCGAATTCAAAATTTTCCATTATGATCGAAAATTCAAATTAATGAGTTCGCTTTGCCATTCATTACTGGTTTGACTAGTAAATCAAAATTAATGGCAAAGCTGCTAACCTTAATAGCTCTTTGGTTTTCAACAGCGATAATAAAATCAGCTGTTCCAGCCTTTTTAGCTTGCTCTGCACAGACATTTTCAACATCCACGTTCTCCATGATATCTATACATTTTTGTACCACAAATTAGGATAGATCACAAAGGCTAATGTAGTCGCAGGATTTTTTATTTACTTACCTTTTGCAGACGGTGCTGCTTCATCAGCTAAACTCTCGGGCACTCTGCAAAGGGTTAATTGAACCAAAATTGAGGACAAAATTATATGATGGAAGGACATAAAGAAAAGCTTCTGCTCACAGCATTTCAGAAACTTAAGTAGCATACTTTTCCGAATCTTTTAGGTTATCATGGAAGCTTCGAAGCTTAGCCACATTATCAGCAGCATTAGAGGAGTGTACAGAAGACCCAAGCAACACAGCTGTGAGAAAGCATGCTACCCCAGGGAACAGAAGGCTTGCTTTGTTTATTTTGTCGTCCAAGAAGTAATTCAATGTTGTGCCTGGTGTAATTGAAATTCTTAGTTTCCAGCTATGAAACAACCATTTAGTATAACTCTTACCATTGCAAACCTAATGTTTATATACACAAAAATTAGGGGTCGAAATAGGAAAGAGAATTATTTACCAATTACAACAGCAATGCTAGATGTGACCACTTGAGCGACTGACAGCCCAACAAATGCCCAGGCATATTGTATTGAAACATTACCAAAGCTTAAGAACAATCCACCAAGCATAGCCATCAGAACACATGGCCATGTATCCTACATTTAGTAAGAAAATTTAACGAAAGGATTAGATATTGTGTTGTCTTTAAGTTGATTCACCCAGCAAGTTCAGGTCTTTCAAGACTTACGGTGTGTTTGGATTGAAGGAAATGGAGGGAAATGAAGGGAAGGGAAATGGAGAGATGTAATATCTTTCATTTGGATAACAAATGAGGAAGGAAGGGAATCGAAGAGGAGAGAAATGGAGGGATTAAATTGTGGGAAATTAATCCCTCCAACAATGAAGAGATTTGGAAGGAAAACTCACCATTCTTCTTTCCCCTCCCTTTCCCTCCCCTCCTCTTCTCCTCCCTCCCCTTCTTTTTCTTCCTCATTCTTTATCTAAACACACTGTTAAGGTCATCTAGAAAATGTTTACACCTAAACACTAATACTCCATGACAAGTATCATGCTACGAGTAGCAATATAATTAGTTGAATTTCAACCATTTTCCCTCTATATTAATGGAAAATAGTATTATAAATATATCATTCGAAACATTATTGCTAAAAAAACAAGAAATGGGCAATAACTAAATAAGAGAAGTGTCCACACGTTGCGACAAATATAGAGAGAGACAAATTATAAGTTTCATATATGGGGTTGTGTCAAAATGAAGGGAATTTGCTAGAAAAATTCACAATATATTGACAAGTTCAGAAGTTGCTCATTTCCTGTTACTTGGTGAGAAAGGACAGACATTAATCAAAAACTCCAATTGCAACATTTTCGGCCTGCCTCTTCATTTTTTGCGGCATTTAGCCAATTAACATTCTCAATAGCCAAAGTAACACATTAATACAATACTGGTAATGCTACTACTCTCTCCGTTTCATTTTTAAGTGTCTTAGTTTGACTTTTGCATTATTTACATACACCTCTTCGACTAATATTTGCCCTTAAAGATTATACAAGTCAAGTAGGTACTAGTTAGAATCATCTCGATGTATAGTTTTCAAATACTCCCTCCGTTTTTAAATAATTGCTCCACTTTCCATTTCGGGCCGTTTTTAAAAACTTACTCCATTTCCTTATTTGGAAAACTTTTACAATATTTAATTCATTTCTCTCAACTAGTGGACCCAACATAAATAAGATTTTATTAATTTCATATTTTCTCTGCTCTAATTCCCTCAACTACTTTTGGTTTTTACAATTTTTTATCCTTCCACCAACCCCTCTACCTCCATATTTTATTACTTTCTCCGATTTCTTCTAAAACTCCGCAAATGGAGAAATGGAGCAAGTATTTAAACATAGAGGGAGTATTATTATATTTTTTGATAATTTATAATTGTTGATAATTAAAGATGTTATTAGTCAATGTTCCACATTAACATATATGCCGGTCAAACTGAGATATTTGTAAAATAGGCTACTATTTACTAAAAATTGCCAAGGTTCCAAAGCCAAACAGACCGAGGTTTTGGCAAACCAACTACAGCTTATGTTCCATTTTATACATAATCTGATAGTCATGATTCATTTATGAAGAGAAAAGTAATGACTTTAACTTCACACAAAATGTCCTATACAAAACTTCATTCTAATACATCTTTACTACTCAGTAGTAATAATCCTTAATCACAAAATTACCACTTTTGCCAGAATTCCACAAATAAGCAATTCACACAACACAATAAAATTCTCCTGTGTAACCGGAAACCCGAACACGTAACAACGTAATCTTATAAAGAAAAGGCGAATACCTGAGTAAGCTGGGTAAGGAAATTGGGCATACTTGGTGTACTACCACCAATCTGGCCAAATGTGAGAGCAATAGCAACAGCTGCCAGAAAGTTTGTAATGGAGTAATCAAGATAAGTATGCTGAGGAAGCCTTCCCCTCCTTTCTAAAAGCGTTAAAATTGCTGGCCATGTTCCCAAAAATAGAAGGGACACCAACATACACACTATTGCAGCTGCTTTGCTCTCTACCAAAAACATGTTTTTTATTTTTTATTTTATCTCAACTAATTCTCCTGATAAATCTTCCTGTTAAATCATTACACAAAAACATTATAGTTAGCAAATTTGAATTAAATCATGATTAATAATTTATATAGTTTTAAAAAAAAAAAAAAAAAAAATATCTGATAATCTGATCAAAGAAATAAAGTCAAGATCAACAAAAAAAAATTACATGTATGACAAATATTAGATCAAATCATACATGAATTTACCACCACTTTACAAGAAGAAAAAAAAATAAAATTAAATCTTACTTAATTAATGAGAATTTTATCTGAAATCAAGGAACATGTTAAACATAGCCCTAAAAGATCAATGTGATGCGTATGAAATTGACAGTGACAAACGAATCCCACTGTAAAAGGAAAAAAAAAAAAAAAAAAAATTTAAAAATCTTACTAAATCAAGGAGAATTGTATCAAAAATCAATTTAAGTGAAGTGTTAAACATAGTCCTAAAGGATCAATATTATGCGGAATGAAATTGACAATGACACACGAATGAATAATTCACAAGTTGTTGAACGATTTGTAACCTCTATAGTTAACTAATTGAAAAAATCAAATAACTGACAATAAAACCATACATTAAAAAAAAAATAATAAATAAATAAAAAATTCCGCATAATATTGATAAACCCATTAAAAAATTCAGACAAACACATTAAAACCCAATTATTTCAGGTGTCTCATTATAATATCATCATACCCAATCAAAATTCAATAACGTAAATTTTGATAAACCCATAAAAATCAAACAAACACATACAAACCCAATGATTTCAGATAATAATATCATCATAACCCAATAATAATCAAATCACAAAACACAAAACAAATCAAAAAATAAACAATAAAAAACCATTAAAATTTTACCTGAATTATACTCTAAGAAATTATGGTTCAAGATTCATGAATAACAAGAACACGGCACAAAAACAGCAAGCACATCCCTTGATAACACTGAACCGAAAAACCCAGTGGAAGAGAGATAGAATTTGTACAAACAGAGAAAAAACGGTAAGATTTGGCTGAATGTGTAGTAACACCCATAAAAATCACATCACATAAATACTAATGATACACTATAGTTTAAGGAATGTAATAATATTCATGTATATAAAGAAGATTATAGAGTCAAAGTAGTGGATGGCATAGCATAATATCGATCGTTGAATATGTTTCGCCGAAACTTTTGGACCGTTTAAAGTTTACAGTCAAGTGAGATGGAACACATAATATTTGTTGCAATCATGATTATTTCTTTATTTGATTGATTACATGTGCGTGTAGAATTGTTTGGTGTGACACATGTAAGCTAAACATAGCTTCCGTTTCTTTCTTTACTAACTTGTATGAAATTGAATGATTTATTTTTAGTAGATGGGGTGTACTCTATAATAATTGAGCCCATTGTTATGATTTCAGAGGTGACATTTTTTTTTTTTTTTTTTTTTTTAATAAAAAAGTTTGAATCATTGCATAGATAAATGGTGGTGTAAGATTCAATTTGAACCATAGATTGTGAGTTGAAGAATGTGATGGAATTATCTTTTGTCCAATAAAGGTGGGAAATTGTAATATTCACCTCATTGTTTTGTTGTGTTTTCTAAAATAGTTAATTAGACCCTTCGCGTGCTGTGTATGGACTTTTTCATGTGGACATTTTTGTTATTTATATTTTAAGAAGAATTCATGTGATCAGGAAAGAAATAGAGAGAAGTGACAATCAAATAATATAATGTCCTAATATTTCTAATTTGTACGTAATAAAATATTGTTTTTGAGACCAAGCAAAAAAGAGCCTTATATTGATAATTTGTCCATCAAAACATACGAATAAAACCACTCTAGGGCTATGGTTCTCCCAAATTTGTTCACAACCAAAAGGTGTTAACTAAGCTAAGTTGTGGGCAACAACATTCCCACTCCGCTTAACGTGGCTCCAATTTACAGAAATAAAAGAGGAACTAGAAAATAAAATATTATTCAATATAGCATCTAAATCAGAAAAGTAAACGACTCCCTTGCATAGACGATTTATGAGGATCTCATTGTCAGACTCTAAGATTATGTTTGACAGCTCGTAATGTGTGGCAAGCTTAACAACAAGTGCAGCAGCCTTCCCCTCTGCGATAGTCGGAGGCCAGTATGCTCTATTGCGGCGAGTAGGAGCAAAGAGTACTTCACCTTCACAGTTGCTAACAACCACTCCTAACCCAATCCACCCATCTTTACTTAAGGAGGCATCACAATTGATTTTAATAGTCCCGGCTGGAGGAGCCTTCCAAGTCTTCGAACTTCTGCAAGTGCCTTTCTTAATCCCCCCCATTAATCTTCTTCGTATATGCCAAACAATCAGCACCAATTCGAAAGACTCGCTCTGTTATCATGGGGTGATAAACTTCTTTACCATTGAAGATCATATCGTTCCTCCTACTCTAGATATTCCACAAAATAAACGCACCTCTGCACTTCTTCTTTGTGTCCAATTTAGACTAGGAAACAATTAAGTCTAAAAAAGACATACCTGAAGGCCATATGGACATCTCAGCACAATCACAATCCAACCAAAGGTCACGCACAGACGGGCAATCGAACAATGCGTGTCTCACTGTTTCAGCGCTACCAACACACCAAGGGCAGTCTGTGTTGTTGGTCATATGTCTGTAATGAAGGTAAGCCCGATTAGGGAGGATACCAGTGCACACTCTCCAAAGGAAGTGACGAACCTTCGGAGTGATATCCAAATTCTAATTTCCACCCAAGCTTTGTGAAAATTCTCAAGGTTGCAAGATTTCCCGAGCATATATGCCATCTTCATTGAGTAGTTGCCATCCATTGAGAAAGCCCACGAGATGATATCTGGACTACCTATAGAGCTTAATAGCAAGGCAAGGATACTACGCACATCACACTCATTGAATAAATTCTGAAATCCGCTGGACATCCCATTCCCTTGAACCATGATCAATTAAATCACTCACCATCGAGACATTATCAGAGTTCATGGAAGTGATAAATCTGCTCTCTCCGTTATCAACCCAAGGATCATTCCAAATGTTCACTGAAAACCCATTTATGATGCGCCACAATAACCCCTCCTTAATTAAGCTTTTCGAAGACCACACACTTCACCATAAATAGCTAACCCCCACTCCAAGTCTTGCGTCCAGAAAGCTCTTCCCTTTGTAGTATTTTTCTCTAAACACCTTGTTTAATAGAGAGTTCAGGTTGCTAGTAAGCCTCCAAGCTTGACGGCCGAGGAGGGAATCATTAAACACCTTCAAGTCTCTTGAGCCCATACCCCTCAAACATTTTGGAGTACAAAGATCCTTCTAACTTTTCCAGTGAGCCCTTCGCTTTGCCTTATCCTAACCCCACCAGAATCGGGCCATCATGGCATGAATATCATCAATCACCCCTGCTGGAATTTCATATAACCCCAAAATGTAAGTCGAAATGGCCTGAATTACTAATTTGAGAAGTACTTCTTTCCCGGCTCTTGACAAAAATATTTCTTTCCACCCTGATAATTTCTTCCAAATTCTGTCTTTGAGGGCCGAAAAAAATCAACTTCTTAGATCTCCTGATAATGATTGGCACCCCAAGATAATTCTCATGCTTATTAACTCGTCACATAGAAAGGATTCCCAACAACTCTTCTTGAACTGTGTCATTAACTCCTCTACTGAAAGAAACCTCCGATTTTTCATAGATAATTTTCTGACCAGAAGCTTGCTCGTATATGTTGAGAATTTAAACAATCTTCGAACACTCCCTTCGATTGGCTCTTGCAAAGAGAAGACTATCATCCACAAAAGAGAAGATGGGAAATAACTTGACCTCCACGGCTAACCTTAGCCCCATGAATAGAGCCATCAAACAAAGCTTTCCGTAGTAGTCCTGACATTTGCAACTAGAATAAACATATACGGGGATAAAGGGTCCCCTTGTCGAAGACCTCTAGAAGGCACCACCGAGCCATACACATTGCCATTGATGATGAATGAATATTTGACTGAGGTCACACAATCCATAACAATTTCAACCCATCTCGCTGCAAATCCCATCTTCAGAAGTAATTTTTCAAGAGAATTTCATTCTACTCTGTCGTAAGCTTACTCATATCTAGCTTCATAGAGATCGTACCTTTTTTGCTCTTACTTCTCGATTTCATGGTATGGAACGATTCGAGGGCGATAAGAGCATTATCAGTGATAAGACGACTCAGAATGAAAGCACTCTAGTTCTCCGAAACAATGTCATGGAGAATTGATTTAAGTCTCATTACAATTGCTTTTGAAGCTATCTTGTAAGGAACATTACATAGAGGAATATGCTTATATTCAGACATCGTAGTGGGGGACTTGGCTTTCAGGATAAGAACAATGTTAGTAAAATTATCATGGCTAATAGACTCATTACCCTGCAAAACATTACTAACATATCTAGAAACATCATCACCAACAATATGCCAAAATTTTTGAAAAAAATATTGCATGCATACTGTTAATTGGGTCCTGGAGACTTACAAGAATGCATCTGATTGAGAGCCGCAAAAATTTCCTCCTTCGAGAAAGGGTGCAAGAGCTCAGCATTAATCTCTGGAGTGATGAGCTGCTCTGTAGACTCATGAACCTTGTCACAAGCTTCGACCGAAGGAGTACCCGTTGTGAATAAATTTTGGTAGAAGCTCTGAAGAACCTTCTCCAAATCTGCTTCTTCCTCACGCCAAGTACCATCCGAGTCAAAGAGCCCCAAATTCATTTCTCTTTCTTCTCTATGAGGCTTTGTGATGGAAATATTTAGTGTTTCGATCACCATCCTTAATTTTCCGAGGCTCTGGACCGCAAATACCAATAGGCTTCTTGCTTCTCAAGATCATCAAGTTTCTTTTCAAGCTTGGTACACCTTGAAAGAAAGTAATCCAACACTGCCTCCCCCTGCGCCTCTTTTAATGCTTTTTTTAACTTGTCAATTTGCATCTCAAGGCCTTGGAATTTTCTCTTACTCCAGGTTTGAAGTTCACCAGCCACACTCTTTAGTTGATTCTCCACACACCCCCGAACCATGCCATGCGCTACGAACAATCTCACCACATTCCTCCTCCAGCAGCCACCATGTCTCAAATCGAAATCTCTTTTTTTTCTTTTTCTTCTTCTTTCTATGGGCACCAAACTTGAGAAATATTGGAGAGTGATCATATTTCATACGAGCCATGTTTTCAACAATCGGATCGAGAAGAAGGTTTAACCATGGGCCATTAGCAACAAATCGATCAAGCCTCTCCTTGATAAGGGTCGTGATGGACAACCCTTTTTCCTAAGTAAACCACTGCCCCACAAAATTAAGGTCCTACAAATATCACAGTCTCGGAGCGTATTACGAAATTCACGAATACATAGGCAACCTCACGTTGGGGTGCGGCCGTAATAATAATACATTCACTCATATTCTCATTCATTCATAATCATATCAAGGGATCTCCAATGCTCATCCCTATCCATTTAGAGCTAGACTTGGGGGCTTGATCCCTACTTCATTAGCTTACCCAGCCCAAGATTCACCATCATTTGGCTCTTCTTAAAATATTTTTTCCACACCTCTAGCCTTTGCAGCCTAACTTTAGTGTCACTTTCACACACATCACAATTACATAGCCAAATAATCCTGCCCTTAGGAATCCTTTGTCATGAAATCTTGGTACGACTTTGAGGCACACCTTGTCATCTTAGAATCACTCATTATCATAATCATCATCGCATCACAAAGTATGAAGTACTTAGCCTTCGCGTCTATGTTACCCAAATACTTTCATCATCGAATCATGAATTGAGATAGTTTAGGATGTTACAATCCTTGCACCATGAGATGCAACATTAACGCATACACTTGATTAAGCAAACTCAACATGCACCATCGCTTGATTCATTCCTTTCCTTTTGAGGAAGTTAAAAAAACTTCATTTTTCACCAACACTTTACCTCTTTTCCTTTTCACGTCTTTCTTTTTGGGAAAAAGTCGATACCCTCCACAAAAATGACGGAAAATCTTTGCTTTTCTGCATTTTCGTGTTGCACAAGCACAATCACAACACAAACACCACATTGAGTTGAGTTTATACACACGAGTCATGCACATTGAGTCACACAATGAGTTGAGTACACTAAGCCTTGAGTCAACCTTAAGCCAACCAACCAGAATGAGTCAAGTAACACCAAGCCTTAGGTCAACCT